TGTGTGCGCGTTCGGATCATAAAGCGTGCGCGCCACCATTTGGTTATTATGGACTGCAGTTTTGTATATTTTGTACATCAGAGCCTGTAGGTGCGTGGAGCTCAGTGTAAGAATAGGGAGGCATTCTTTATCCCATGTCTAACCATGAGCCATTTCTATCTGCTCCCCACTGCCTCCCTCCCTCGCTCCCTCTCACTGGCACACTAATGATGTGTTGCTGCAAAAGTGAAGCTTAGGACAACAAACTCCTCCCAGTGAGTCTGTGCAGACTACAACTCCACTCAGATCTGGACACTGGCAGGCCGCTATCAGTGAAAATCAGTGGCAGCATGAGAAATAATGGCACACAGTCTGAGCGGGAGCATGTACAGAATACTGATTCCTCCGCTTTGAGCCACATTTGGAGCTGTGTCTTGAGAGGCCGATGCCAATTACAGGCAAGATATAAATAACATTCTCAGCCATACTATTGGCCTAAAGTGGAGTCTTGAGTATACCCTTGATTTAATTTCTCAAGGATTATTATGAGATAATGGCAATAAAAAAGAAACACGAGAGCTAAGCCAAGAACAGTATGAACAACCCTGTGGGAGTTGGGGATTTTATTTTGTACTTCTGCTCTGATGTAGCTAATTATTTAGCTAAACATATTATGCTGATGTTTCCTAAGCATCATAAGATCCCATTTTCATACAGCGATTATTAAAAACCTGCTCTGCTGGTATAAAAGGTGGTATTAGAATAGAAGAATAGTATAATAGTATAAAAGAACAGAATAATAGATAATAGATTTTGCAAGTCAAGTAGTGGGGTTTTATCTTTTTTATTTTGTTTGTTTGGCAAGAATTCTCAGAGGGAGTGTCACAGACACATAACAGGCAGGCCTTTTATGTGATGAAGATGATGTGCAGCTAAGCCATTTTCCCTTTTTTTAATTTTCCAATCAAGCCAGAGTTTACTGGCTGATAACAGCACAGACTTTCTGGCATTCTGAAAAAAAATATTGGGATTTACACCAGATCTTAATGAGCAACAGATTATAGACATTGAGTAAAACATATCAGTTTTATTAGTGTCACTGATCAGCAGTTTATGGAAAGAGAAGGAGCTTTGCAAAACAAGATCTCACATATGTGTGGACAAAAACAAGGCTTACTGTAGGAAAAAAAAACAAGTTAAAAAGTAGAAAGGCGAAAGAAAACAGCGAGCGTCCTCAGTGGAATACATTACCAGGACAGCAGAGGCATGCTTCGGATAAACCCTTCAGATGCCTTCAGTGTCCTCCTGACTTTCAGCTCGTCTCCAAAGAGACATGTTATGTGCCAGGGAGCATTCATCAAATTAGAACAGAGAGAAAACAATGTGAAAACCAGCGGCGCTCCACAGAGACGTGCCGACAGGTTATCACAGAGAAGGTGTCTCTTGCACTAGAACGCTGGGGCCAGAGGCGCAGCACAGCATGCTCCCTGAAGAGCAGCCCTCCCCTGCCTCCCTCCCCCCTGCACAGCCCCAGGATTTGGGGGGTGGGGGGCAGCATGCATTCGGGGGAGAAGTGTACAAATGCAGTGTGTTAAAGCAAAGCCACCTGCTTCCATGCAATGGTTATTTAAGAGCGGCAGAAAGTTGGGTGCAGATGAAGGTTTGAGTGGTTGTAGATTACCTGATGTCCAGCTAGAATGAGACTGCTGACCAGGCTTTAGCAGGCACATGGGGACCGCGGCTCGGCCCCGGACATCTCATTAAGGAGGAGCGTTATCAATCCACAGAGATCGAAACCGCCATGACAGTGCTAAAGAAAGCACCGGGGCACCTTAGGCTGAGTCAGGTCGGAATTTCCTGCTCCACATCCCCTTTGATGGTTCAATCAGTTCATGAGCCAAGGTCAGTCGATAGCTTTATTTCACCATGAGGTAGAGAACACTCAGGTAAATTCTCCACTGACACCTTAGTTATTTTAAAAGACACTGTACTTAGAATCTCTGAACATTGTCAAAGCTTTTTTGTTTAAACTCTAAATGCAGGTTTCTTCCTACAGATTTTCTCTGTCCATTTTTTTTTTGGTATTTCGTCCTCCCAGCTGTCTCCCCAGGTTTCCTCAGCTCTTCTCCTTGCTCTCTGCAGCTCTGAGCTGAGGCAGATAAATGAGCTGTGTTGTGGTGTTCACTGTGGCTTCAGCGCTTTACCTCTAGATTAATGATGCTTTACAAGCCCCCGAGCCTTTGCCTCTTGCATTTTGGAAGCACGTTCATAAAGTGAACTACAGGTACATCTTGTTTATATGCGTATCTATTGCTGCATCTTTCCTGTGGGCATGAGGCTCTTTGCATCGGTAACTCTTACTCTGCAGAGCTGATGAACCCTCCCTAAAAACACACTGCATTTGTGGAAAACTTAGGAAATAGCATTTTTTTTTTCAATTCTCAACTGCTATGTCAAAACCATCACAAGCACACCCTGTGTTATTTAGGACATCTCCCTTAGAAAAGATCTCCTGAGATTTCAGTGTCCTGGCATCCTGGCCCAGCTACCTGTCAGTTTTCATCACAGTGGTTAAATTGCATGGTAAGCCCCTCGCATTGCTCGCATTGAATCGTCACGGGTGAAAAAGAAGCCAAGTGTTGGAGGAGGACACCATGAATTGGTAATGTTATTGGATTTGAACCAGGTCATGACCACATCAAAATGTTGACCTACACACTAATCCTGGCAGGCACGCTGATGCCCAGTAACACATGAATTCATTTTAGTGTTGATTTAGCAGCTTACCTGCACTGCAAACACACTCAGACGATTCATTAAGAAGTGTAGCATAGGGTTGATATTTTCATAAGATGGAAGAAGGATTGGACTTGGAGGTGAGCTTACAGACACAGTCGAGCTGCAGTTACACAGAACGACACACAGCCTTTGTCCTTGGATGGTGAAATGACGATGACATTATTTTATGGTGCTGTTATGACATTATAAATCCAGTTCCCTGTCACTTCATTTGAAAGTCTCAATCTAGGTGCAATCCAACATTTATTTTGTTCCTCACAGTTATTGGTTTGGCCATATAATGACGATTTCTTAAGGTCAGAGCTGAAGGAATCTCATAAACTCAAACAGCATATCAATATTTACTCCTATGGCTTTGACTCAGATATTTATCTCATAAACAACTGGATTCAATATCTTGAATCATAAAATCAAGGATTCTCATGTACAGAGATAAAGTAACTCATTCCATTTCATTATTGGATTTCGCTGATGTGATGGAGTTGAAGGCCGCAAACTGCAGCTTTCTAACCTGAATGAAGAGACAGAGGCGTCTAAATATGAACGGGCATACACCTCCGCTCAAGTTATTCTGCAGGGAGTTAACCTACATCCACTGCACCCACATCACATTGCTTCCTCTCCACCTCCTCTTTCAAATAAATCTGAAGGACGCAGTTGAAGGGAGAGGGAGAGACGAGGGATGTGAGAGGTAGAGAGAGAACGAGAGTGGATGAGGTGGGAAGAACAGAGAGAGAGTATTGATTCCTTGATTCTCGTAGCTCTGCCAGTGAGCGCCGAGTGTCAAGATCTCCCGCCAGGAAAAACAAATCACAAGGCAGAAGTGATGGATGTGGCACTCCAGGATCCGGCGGTTTTGCCATCTGGATGGCCGACACTGTATATCAGCCTCATGCACAGCAAATTGAATTTACATTTGGACGGCTTCCCCGGGCCTCACCCGGCACAGATGCACCAAAAGCGGCCCTCCACCACAACTCCCTTAATGGGCTTGATCTATCATTTCCAGGTCTATTATGTAAAGATGATGTTGGTCCATGTTCAGAATGTCAAAATGATTTTACAGTCACGATAGAATTACATTATGTGCAGCCAAATGGATGTTAAGCAAAATGACATCACCTTTAATTTCCTTAGGATGAGTCAATACTAATCCAACTTGCCGAAGTATTTTGATGCGCAGTCAAACATCAGTAAAATAATAGCACAAATTCAATCAGAGCCAAAATCCATCTTCAGTTTTAGAACCTAATGCATTTCTTAGCCTTATTATTATTCTGTGGCACAAACATACCCAGAGTATAAGATATTTAAGTACAATGAAGATTGTCAAGCACGTATTTGAGGATTTAGAAATATTTGCATAAAAAAATGATAAGTAGAGGTGCAAGGCTAAATGTATAGCGGCAGGTTATTCTGCTTAGCGGAGCGCCATAACAGAGAAGAACTAATGCGGCCCAAAAGAGGCTGCCATGCTTAAATGAAATGACCTTTAACGCAGAGCTGATCAAATGGCCTGAAGCAAGACTATAAAAGAACACTGCGGTATAATGTTTTACAGTGTGCTTTTTTTTCTCCGCTCTTTTGTTTGCCCTTTCCCATTCACCAAGAGTGTAAAATGTATTGTGTTTGGCAGGTGAGGAAGTGCGATGAAATTGGTATGAGAGTAGACATGGCAGTAAAAATAATGAAGCGCCGTCTATACGTGTCATGATTTTGTCGGATGCTTGTTTTGTAACAGAGATATTTCTTTCACATTAAGAGAAATAACATAAAATATTGATCTGAGCCTCCGCCGCTCTGCCCTTCGTCTCCCAGCCTCTTCTCCTCGCTTTTCACGGGTGGTTGTCCTCTAAATGTCAGAGGTGCTTTAGCGATGGCTCTTAACAATTCTTTGAAGCGGCTATGCAAAGCCACACACTGCAGCACAAATTGAGCATGCGACTTGACAACGACGCTATGAACTCCGGCCTCGTCCTGTTCCTCAATAATCAGATCTCATCTCTGTAAGAACGGTGATGCCTGGAAAGCGGCACAACAGCTGCTACGGCGCCAGGCAGCTTGTGGCTCGTGTTGACAGATGAATCCAGCAGCCAAACAGTGGAGCTGTCTGGATTCACATCTCATCTGCTCGCACTCTCCTCAAACCTTACCCTCTGGAAACACCACTAATCTGTAGTATTTCAGGCCCTAACTCCAACCGTGTGTCTCTCTCTTTTCAGACAACCGACGACTTTGTGGTGGCATCGGCCGAGTGTCCAAGCGATGATGAGGACATTGATCCCTGTGAGCCGAGCTCAGGTGGGTTAGGTTAGTCATCTCTTTTTTTATTCTCCTTCTCTCCGGGTGTGTCAATGTGTCCCTGCGTGTCGTAGCCCACCCCCACCAAGACACTCTAGGGGAGCACACAGTGTTTGTTTGGGCAGATTGGAGTTTTAGTTAAAGCTCGAGCACTTCTCAGCGGCAGATTTTCTCCTCTTTTGGCTACCGACTGACTTCATGATACAGCGAGCTGGAGGCTCTCCATTAGTTCTGTCTGGGAAGCTTCCAATCTGCCAGAGTGAGCTTTTTACTTGTTCTTATATTTCAGAGTCCTGGAGCGTCGAATGTAAATGCAGTAACATTTTACATTCATTTATGACCATAA